CTGAACCAAATTTGTAACGAGAGAAATCTCGTTTTGAATGACTTATTTTCTTAAGTATGAATTGGAAGTTCTGATTTATAGCTGGCTTCTTCTGGGCCTCGAATGAGCTTTTGATTGCTTCAATTTGTCTGAATGTTCTAAGAGATCAAGTGATCATTTTGAGTTTTTGTCTTGGGTTGATTTTTTGGTTGTTTTATTGATCGTCTTTGCGCTGTTTCACCTTCCCTTACATTTATAGGAATGCTAGAATAGAAGTTCTAATCCTTTAATAATGGGCGGCAAAAAATCCTCAAAAGATCTTCCATTTTTATATGCAAAGGAAAAATGAGGTTTTATCAATTCTGGCATATAAGCTCTTAATAGTCAGTACCTATGGCAATCACTTACCTGTTTTTTTGAAAAGGAAATCTAACCCTTCTTCCAATTTAATTGCCCTCTGTAGGGGCTCAAATTGTGATAGTTAGTTTGATTTTCCAGTTTTGAACAACTCCCTGTTTCCTGCTTATCTTTTTAGAAAAAATAGTCTGCGTATCCCTTGAAAGATGGTGCCTTCTTTGGAGCAGAAACAATATCTCTGAATATATAAAAGGGATTTGATCTTCTGGTGGCAAAAATTCAGAGATGTCCCTTCTTTTTGCCTGCCCTTGTCAACTCCTTATCAACCCAGTTGAAATTGCTGACTTTTCTATGTTAAAAAAAAAATCACGTGGGTCTGTTTCCTTTTGGGCTTCTTCTTCTCTTTTAATCACACCAAGTCCATTTTGGTTTTTCTAGAGCTATGGGCTGACTGCTTTTCTTTTTCGAGGCCCAAGTTTTGTTTGCCATATTTTGATAGATCCTGGGCTGAGCCTTCTTGGATTTTGGGCCTTCGATTCCTATTTATTTGCAAAGTCCAGATTTGGGCCCTATGGCTTGTTTGTTATCCTGGGCTCTTCAGTGCTGGGTTGGGTGCGCAGGATTTTGGCCCAAACAATGCCCCTTTGAATCTGAATTGTTTCTGGGAACAGTTTTTTAACCTTGTAATGGTTCAAATTGAATCAATTGGCCAATTAATGTTGCGCGCCACCTTCTTCTGTTTTTGCTAACCCACGTCTGCCACATCTTGTCTATTGAGCTAGAGTTCGTGGGTAACTGGGTAGTTATTAGCTAGTTACTAGCTTATCTAACGACAGATGATGCTTAGCCTTCTTCTTCTTCCCACATTTCTGAGCTTTTAAAAAGAGATTCAAGACCCACAGTTCCTGTTCATTTGAAAACCTAACTCCTTCAAACTTCCGAATTTTTTCAGATTTCTCAAGACCTTTCCCTCATTTCTCTGATCAGACCTTACTCCTTCCTGGTTACTTCTTTTGCTTCAACTCAACTTCTGAGAATGTCTTCTCCAAAAACTCGTGCCCAAGGTTCCTCTTCCTCAGTTCCTCCTGATTATATCACTGGGACTGAGGTTGACAACCACGCGATAGAGGTTAGAAGCAAGCTCCATCCTTTTGCCAAGAAAAACTTGGACGAGAATGTCCTCCATCTGTTTGAGAATACCCTAGTTATGGGCCCCCACTGGTTTGGTTCTGTCCCTGCCAAAATGGCAGAACTATCAAAAACAACGCTGAAGCTCCCCTGTGTTTCGAGAGCTCTTCTGCCCTGGCTTCTCATTCCTGGGTCAGCAAGAATTTGAGTCGTTCGTTCTCATCCAGTGAGGTGAGGAACAGTTCTGCGAAATGGGCAGACTAGATAGACAGACTTCTTCCAGATATGGTGCCCATTGGAGGAGGGCAGGAATTTATGATGCCATTCTCCTATCCAAGCAATCCATCAACAGGGATGATAATTTGTTTGCTGCTGCCCTCGGCTTCTGGAATTTGCCAGCAACACCTGCGATTTTCATATGGGCCCAATGGCTCCAACTATACTGGATATGGCTCAAATTTTTGGGTTCAGGCCCCATGGAAGACCTGTAGATGCAGTGGGTGACTATCACAGGAGGAAGAACCAGCAGAAACTAACCAAGCCATCCACCATCTCTCCAGCCTTTATCAACCAGAATTGCTCCTTCTCCAATTATCTCAGGAAATTCAGTGCTGAGAAGGACAAGCACCAGCAGCACATGCTCTTCCTTCCGTATTGGCTAAACAGGTTCATTCTGCCCAACTGCTCCTCTGCAGTTCTGCTTGAGTACAGACATCTGGTAGAAGCCTTGCACAACCATACTGATGTTGGACTCGGGCCTACAGTTCTGGCTCATCTATTCAAGAACTTGCATACTGCCACCCTAGAGAATCCACTGAACCTGTCTGCTCCTGGCACATTTTGGATGATCCAGATCTGGTTGCAGGTCTATTTCCCATAACTGAGGTTCCCAGATGTAGTTATGCCTGAGGATCAGGTTCTGGCTCAACCATTGTTGTCGGCAGAAGTGCCCAAGTGTTCCATTGAAGAGTATCTGACGTTCTTCAAGCACTGCACGAAGAGATCAGCAGCTCAGTGGCAAGTTGTGATCAAGAGAACCTATCCTTGGTTCCAACCTGGATACCGTTTGTTTGAGAAGGAGCCGGAAGAAGAAGAAGTAGCCAGAATCGATTTCAGGAAGAAGTTCCTGAGTGTGACGATGTGCAGTGAATAAGATAAACAACAGCGCAGATGCTCTCTATCCAGCATGGGAACCGAATTCCTGCAGTTCTACCGAGTTTGACGCTTGGTGGAAGGCTAGGTTTCATGAACTGCCTGCCTCAATCACTGCACTCAAGGTGCTTTTTGATGGCTGGGACTCTTGGACCGTCTATGCAAAGGCAGAGGCAAAGAGCTTTACGGTGCAGACCATCAAAGACATCAATTTTCAAGTCATAGAAGGTAGATTCTCGATTCTGTCTGTGATTTATTAGTTCTGCCTCTGTGATGACTTCTAACATTTTGTTCTGTCTGCAACATATCCTTCTATGACGAGGAATATAGGTGGACAGTCTGTCGAAGCTGGAGAAGTTATTGGTAAGCTTTCCATCATCCTGTTCCTTCCGTTATTCTTCTGCTGGATTAGCTCCTGACTTGTTTATTTCTTGTGCAGTTACTTCTGTCATTGCTGCTGGAGATTTGGAGCTTCCCTCTGGAGATGAAGAGGATGAAAATCTAGAAGAACAACTATCTGTTAAGGCCACTCCTGGTAGAAGGAAGAGAAAAGAAACTGCTCATGCTTAGGACAGTGCTGCCCAGCCTGAAGTTTCTGGTAAGATTCTGACATTCCCAACTATTTCCTTGAATCTATTCTGTTTTGCCCATTCTTCTAACCTCCATTTCATTGTTCCGTGCAGCTGAAAATCCTCCTCCTTCTCCTACTAGGTCAAAAAGACTTAGAAAGAGGACTGGAGTTGAATCTGATAAGACAGAAGAGCCTGCAGCTGTTCCAACTGAGACTTCTGGAACTGATGATGAGTTGCGAGAGGTTTTCGAAGCTGTTGAGCAAGAAAAAGAAAAAGAAAAAAGAAGAAGAAGAAGTTCCCATGAAAGAAAAAGAAAAGGAGAAAGAGTTTGAAGAAGAAGTGAGATTTTATTCTGGCCGTGTGATTATTTTACATCTGCTCTTCTTCTAACTTTTGACTTCTGTTTATTTGTAGGAGGAGATTCCTGCTAAAGAAATAGCATAAAACATTGCCTTGGCTCAGAAACAACAAGAAATCCCAAGGGCAGAACTGACCAGCTCGGAGTTGGCCCTTTTCGAGGATGTAGAGGCAGATCTACCTGTTGCAGTCCCATAAACTGAAGTGGAAGTAGCTGCTGCTGTCCCTAACTTATGGTAATTTTCATTTTAACTTTGTCTATCTATTTCCTGCAATTCTGTCATGTCTTTGCTTCTCTAACTATTTAGTCCTTTCAGGCAAAAGTGCCTAGAACTGCCGGGGTTTTGGCAGTGATGACCAGCCCTCTGAAGCCTCCAATTATTGCTATAAGTACTTACTCATTATGGATTTTCCCTTAGTTTCAAAATTTTACATAGAACTGAATTGAGTTCTTCTTGCAGATGCCCATCC